CTGAGATCTGTCTGCAGAGTGACACCTGCACTCTTTTCTTTAATAACCATAACCAGCCTTCTATACCATAACCATATCCTTCATGGTTATCCTTCCATAACCAGCCTGTGCTTGAAAATGCCTTGATTTTCTCTCTGACTTCTGGAAGATGTCCATACACACACAAGCAACACTTGCTATATTTGTCTGTAGCTTGCACCTCTGATAAGCACATTTGACAGGAGGTTTGTGTAGGACACCTTCTAGACATTTCATGCTTGCCTGGACGATTAGTGTCAAACCAAATGTTTCAATAAGTGTGTTTATTTGCCAAAGACTTCAGGTGGGACCCTGCAATAGTCTTTCCTTTCACCAGCTTGGAGTCGGCACAGCCAGAGGCTTCGAGCGTCATGAGAGGAGGGGATCATTGGCTACAACATGTGGAAACAGTTCCTCCAGAGTAAATCTGCATTTGCAATTGGTGTCTCCAATTTCCCTTTGACTTGAAGTCAGAAGAGAGCTTACCTCCCCCTCCAAGGAACCAAACAAAGCAAAGGAACTCAAGGCTCCTTCACGCAGGCAATCATGTTGTAGCTCTGTTAGACATCTCTGAAATGACTGAATGAGAGTCAGCTTAGTTCCAGGACCCTGGCTCAGGTCTTGTTTCTCTTGCTGTAAGGTAAGGCCATCAACTTCTTATTTTATGGGATAGGTTGTAACTGTACAAAGTTCATTGTCTTTGGGTGAATTGCATTAAAACTCCACAGCTTGCTTCAAAGAGAATTTTCTGAGTGGAGAATCCAGAGGAACTCAGGAAAGGGCCATTGAGTTCGGTCTCATCACCCTTTTCTTGAATTGAGAGGCTTCTGGATGGGAGGGGAAACCTGTCCCAATAGCTTATTTTATGGGCTTGTCTTATAAATGGGGTTTGGGTGCACTGACTCCTTCAGATTGCTTGGAACTACAGCAGTATACATGGAGTCGGAATGGAAGAGGATTTTATTCAATATAATGGACAGAAGAGAACAGGTTAGATTAGACTGCAGTTGAAAGAGGCCTACAACAACCATCTAGTCCCACTGCCTGCCCACTTTGCAGCTGACCAAAAGGTAAAGCATACTATCAAAGGCATTTGGTCGGGTTGTTGTTTATTCTTGAATTCAGAGGTTTCTGGATGGGAGGGGAAAAGTTGTCCCAATGGGAAAGGTCTGTCAGATTTTTCAAAAGGCTGGGAGTTTTTTTTTCTTGTTTTGTCCCTTGTCTGAGGGAAGGGTGAGCAGGTCCATTCCTTCAGTTTGGATATGAGGCCTATAAAGCACTGGTGAAGAAAACTGTGGGGAGCAGGGAGTTGTGGGCAGCCTCTGTGGGTCTTCTGAGCACTGATATTCTGGCTGTGACTGGGACCAGTTTGATCTAGGTCAGGGGAATGTCTTCCCTGCCCTTCCAGGGGCCCTGGATGTGCAAAGGGCTCTGCAAATCAGTGAGGTGGGGGAGGAACCTTTCCAACTCTCCCAACAGCTCCAGCTGATGATGGCAACCTCAAGGCTGTCAGAGAAGAGTCTGGGAAGATGCTGCAGCCATGTCGTGAGGGACAGACTGGATCCTCTTGCTTTCTGAACTCCTTCTCTGAGAAGAGTCTGGGTGCAGCTGGATCCAGTCTTAGCCCTACAATGGTAAAGAAGAGTTTGTGTCCCAGGTTCTGCCACAGAGTTGGTTTATTGCAGCTTGAGCTGGGCCTCTCCCATGAGGCCTTGATTGTTTCTGTGTGCATTTAAGGTCTCTCATCTATTACACAAGGTGTTCACACATTTGTCCAGGTGACATGCACAGATCTTTTGTCCAATCAGCTTTTCATAGCTGCTCTTCCTCAGTGATGATTGGAGTAAGAACTTTTTTTCAGCTGGGAGAGGAGAAGGCTCTGTGGAGACACAGACACCACAAACCTGGAGCTGCCACCTTTGCTTTATCCTCTTGCCTTTGATATATATTGTGCTCAAAAATAAAAGTAGTACAGCAGCTCTCGGCTGAGCCCAGCTCCCAGAGTGAAAATGTCTGGCCTCTGCTGCCCCAGGAAAGCTCCCAGCTCTGAATGCTGTTGCTGGATCTCAACATTCCCTAAAACCCTCTGCAGAGACACCAGAAATCTGGAGTTACCAACTTTGCTTTATCTGCCAGGCTTAATGCCATGTCTTCAGAACAGGTTGCAGTTTCTTCCAGCAAAGCCCAGTGCCCAGTCTGAAATCATCCAGCCTTAACCCCTCTGCTCAGATCCCCGTCCAAATGCCAGTACCTCAATTTACCTTTCAGATGGTCAGGGCTCTGAACTTACCAGACTGACACTGTGCTGGCTAACCAGGATATTCCTGCAGCCTCTGCTTCCTCTTCATCCCCAGAACCAGTGCCAGCAGGAAATACAGTTTTGGTCAAGTGCAGATCTCTTCCGTGGCACCCTCCTACTCAAAGGGAACATGATCTTCTTTCGCCTGCTCCGATTCTGGCATTGGATGCTTTGGCCATCGTCCTTTATGGCACATGCGATAGCAAGAGTCAGAAAACTCCTGGGTTTGGCAGGATCCCAGGCAGAGGAGCAGAAATGCCCAGGCAGGGCAGTAGAGATGGGCCGTCAAGATGCACCCAAGCCAACGCGCAACTCATTGGAGCTCCTGATGTCAGCAGGAGACCTTCACCACTCTGAAGCTTCTCTCTCTGTCTCTGCCCTTTCCTCTCCTCAGTGCCGCCAGCCCAACCCTCGCCTGCTCAGCAGCGCACAGTGGACGATGCCTCAATGCTCCTCATCCCCAAAGCGTCCTTGATACAATGGGGGCTCCAGCACAGAGCTGATGGAAATGCCGAGGTCCTGGCACTATGTGGTGGTGGGGCCATCACCCCCTCCCCTGCACCCATCCACAGCCACCAGCTCCACACCCAGGGCCTGCAGCAAATGCATCCAGGGACACCGGGGGTGGCAGGAGAGGGTGATTCATTAATGCGCAGCAGACATCCCAGCAGTGGGGTGGCCACAAAGCTCAGATCCCAACTGCAGCAGGAGAGAGGGAGAAGACGGAAGGGAAAAGAGGAGGAAAAATGGAAAGACACAGGGAAGAGATGAGGGACAAAGAGCCAGGAAATGGGACACTGGGAACAGAAGAGAGACAGGGAGCAGGATAATGGTGTAGAGAGTGCCCTCCCAGTATGTCCCAGTGCCCTCACAGTATACCCCAATAGGTCCCAGTGCCTTCCCACTATATCCCACTGGCCTCCCAGGCCCTCCGAGTATATCCCAAATGTCCCCATGCCCTCCCAGCCTCTCCCAGTATAGCCCAGTATGGTTCAGTGTCCTCCCAGTATGTCCCAGTGCCCTCCCAGCCCCTCCCAGTGTATCCCAGTGGCCTCGTAGTGCCATTTACCCCCATCCCAGTATATCCCAGTGTCCTTCTAGTATGTTCCAGTGCCCTCCCAGAGCCATTTACCCCCCCTTCCGGCCCTGCCCAGTATATCCCAGTGTCCTCCCAGTATATCCCAGTACGTCTCAGTGCCCTCCCAGTATATTCTGGGGTCCTCGTGGGGCATTATGAGTATATTCCACTCCCTTCTCAGCCCCTCCCAGTACAGACCAGTCTGTCCAAGCGCCCTCCCAGTATATCCTGGGGTCCTCGCGAGGCATCACGAGACGCCGGTGGACGTTGCGGGGGCGGGGTGAGAGGTGTGTGTGCTATAGGGAGCCGAGCGGAGCCGAGATGAGCCGAAAGGCGCCGAACGAGAACCGGCAGTGG